TGGGAACCGTAGGGCATTTTTTTACGTGATCTATATGCCTTAGGGAATTACTGGACAAAGTTTCAGCTTTATAAAAATTTTTTACTAAAATTATTCTTGTTCCACTGGACTAACAAATTTATGTGAAATATTAAATTTATATATAATTCCGAATTATTAGTACATTTGCGTCACCGAACTCTCTTAATTTAACCTAAATCTAAATTTTAACGTAATTTCAACGTTTACTTTTCAACTTTAATTCAACGTTTGTTTTTAGTTAAAAATAAACGTTGAATAAACATAAAAAGTTCAACGGTTTTTTTTTTTAACGTTAAACTAAGTTGAAATAACGTTGAAATTTGAATCGTTATTTTTCAACAATATATCAACCATTTCGCAACGTTGAAACAATGCTATGTGCTGGCTGGGCTTTTATTTGTCATTTAAAAAAACATAACTTTGAGTATTTGTCAAAATATATTAATTTATCAAAGTTTGCTCATTTATTGAATATATATTACTTTTATTTTCAACTAAAAACAAACGTTCAATAAACGTTGAAAAATAAACGTTGAAATTACATTGAAGTTTAGAAATGTAAGTTTGCGGACGCAAATGTACTAATAATTCACAATTCAAATAAAATTTATTTATTAAACATATGTTAGTGCGTGGGATAATTCTTTAAAAACTTTCAATAAATGTGTTAATGTAATAAAAGTAAAAACATTAAAAGACTTTTTTGCAATGAAAATATGTATAATTTTACAAAAATTTATAAGAATTGGCATTATACATTAGTTTTTTAAAAGTCTTTTTACATTGTGTACAATACCTTACATTGAATATATACCTTACATATATATATATATATATATATATATATATATATATATATACATATATATATATATATATATATATATATATATATATATATATATATATATATATATATATATATATATATATATATATATATATATATATTATATATATATATTATTTAATATTATGAAAGTATAGTGTGGACCAGTATGTTTTGGTTTGCATAGTCAAAAGACTAAATGTTTGTGTGAATGAAACTCCATCAAGTTGAATAAAGAATGGTTTAGTCCATTATCCAAATCGAAGTGTGAAATTTACAGTAAAAAATAGAATATAGCACAACAGTTGTTTAGTATGAGTTCAAACTAAAATCAAACTACAGGTGTTTTAACCTATTATACACAAATGATTATTATATATATTTATAAGAGCAGTATTAAAGACCATTTAGTCTTTATTAAATCTTATGTAAAGTGTTTATTGTATCCTTTCTGTTAGGGATCGGTAATAATCCGTGCATTATTAAAAAAAAAAGATGGCTCGCACAGTAGAACAGAACTTAAATTTAAAGTTTTAGTTAAAAAAGCAAAAAATTGACTAGTTAATGTAGACTTTGATAATATAGAAGTTAAAGTATACAAAAAAGTCATTTTTAAATATATCTACCTTGTTTTGTCATGTGCATATAATGCTCATCCAGAGAAAGGAGCCAGTCAATAAAGATCTAAAGAACAAAAAGATTTTTTTTTTGTATTAATTATGTCGACCTATTCAAATGTAATGGAGTTTAAATTAAAATAAAACACATTTTGGTTATATAATGCAAATGTCATTATATAAACATTATGAAAGTAATAAAGAATGTAAGTTATAACTTTTTTAATTAACTTTTGTTACTCTGCCATCATAGGTAATTATCTTGGATATATCAATAGTTTACCATTCATGACAATGTTCTGCTAATAATTTTTTTTACACATAATATAATCTAAATCATCAAGTTGCATAAATGACAAATTGTTGAATAAATTTCTTATTTCTTAATCTTATTATTTTATTTATTCTTATTATTATTATTAATATTATAATTATTTATATATTTATATTTATTATTTATTATTCTCTTATTTTTAGTATTTATAAAAATGTTATCACTTATAAAAAAAGAAAAAGTTATTAAAAGTTGATAACATCATGCTCAAATTAGAGCTAAGATTTTTTATAAACAGTCTTCAAAACAGCAAACAGTTTATAAAAAAGGAAAAAGTAAGTTAGGCAAAAAGCTGTTAATAAACAGCTTTTCCCTATTTTTCTTCTATTCTTTTAAATATTTCAATATATCCGTTAAGTATCAAACCTCATTTATATAGACTAGTCTAGATTGATTTGTCTATTAACTTTAACCTCTCAGTTGTATTTATGTCTGGTTTTTCAGATCTTAAATAAGATTTTGTTTATCACATTTTTTTGCCATGATTTCATTATTTTTTGTTAATTTGTGATTTGAGTATTTCGTTAACTTAATTGATTTGTGATTTGATTGTATTTTTACTGTTTTTTTTTGTTTTTTTTTTTTTAAATAAATTTGTTTTGATTTCGCAGGTTAATGGCAAATAAATTAAAAACAAAGTTTAACTTGACTTGATCTAAAACAAAACAAACAAAAGAGAATAGATTTTAAATATTTACAAGGTGTTTTTGGTATTTATATTACATTGCTTTGCGCTGCTCCCCCTGACATATATATATATATATATATATATATATATATATATATATATATATATATATATATATATATATATATATATATATATATATATATATATATATATATATACACACATATATATATACACATATATATATATGCATATATGTATATATTAGTACAGTTAATTGAAGATATCTTAGCCCTCCAAGGGACCAAGGAAAACAGTTCTACTAAACGAATGTTTGACTTAAACGATGTATAACTGCTTAAAAGGTTTGTGTTTTGTGTGTGTATTTGTGTTGATGTAGGATGTTGATTTATAATGTATAATTATCCAAATAGGTTGATATCGTGGTCATTAATGAAGTAAATTAGGCACGGATCAATAATGGGTTGCTTTTTTTTCTTACTATTGATTCCTTATTTTTCTTATTTGCTTGTGAACAATGTGAAGTATAATAATACTTGTAAAATGTACAAATCTACCTTACTTTAAAGATATTTTTATTTAGATGCAGTTACCTGATGTTCTTAAATAAAAATACACAATGCACAAAGATGGAATTTACACCGTTTAAAGGTTGCACCATATTGGATGGATTGTGGAAAATGCATCAAATTAAAACGAGTCTGACAACAGAAGGCAATAAAAATACATATGAAATTGATGTTGGTGATGAAGATAACAATATCATGGTTTTATCAAGATCGTTTTAAAAATAACTTTAATTTTGTATAAGCTATTATTCTAAAAATGTATAAATTATTTTTTTAGTTTTATTTGCTTTCAATAATTGCCTTTCAATTTCTATAACTTAGTTACCTGCGTTAAAAAAATGGTACAGGGTAGATTGTTTGTAATACTATAGCAACAGTTGGTATTATAAAATAAAATAAACTAATAATACAACTAATAATAATAGGAGAAAGCTGTAAAAATTGAGAATAAGATGTGCAGTACAATAGAGTAAGTTATTGCACAGCTATTATAAGTTTATAAAGAATACTGTTTCTTTTCTTACTCATAACAACACAATGTTGTGCAAAAAATAAATGTTTTTTGGATTAAAAGAGTCACGGCGAAAAAAGCTGTACTTTTTAGGTTTATAAACTCGTATATAAGTTAGTTGAATCAATGATAGATCAACGTTAATCTAACCTTGATTTTTGGTTTGTTTTCAACGTTGATCTAACGTTTATTTTTCAACGCTCATTTGTGTTTCCATTTCAACCAAAAATCAACAATAATTTTCAACGGTTTTTTAACGTTGTTTCAACGTTGATTGTGCTTGCTGAGAAATAGATTTGTATAACTTATAACTAACGAAAATATAATTACTAATTGAACAATTATGCTAAAAGTTAGGCTAAATAAATACTTCTATTTTTAAGATGTAGTTGTCAAACTTGTTAACTTCAAAATATACTGAAGGACATTATTGATAATCGGTACGGTACGCTGCTTATAAATGTATCAGTTGGTCCGTCGAAGCAGTAATTGATGCTCTTTAGCTGTAAGCTGAACTCATCTTTGCAGGTCTTGGTATGTGACCTCTGTATGGTACTTAGCTGGAGGAGGATAAACCATAATATGAAATCCAAATATAGCATTAGTATTGCATCAAAATTATTTGCTTCTTGGGATAGATGACAAACTATTGATATCATAATTACATCAATAAGCCTTTTTTCGAACTTTAGTATGACTAGGTACATTGAGATTTGAGATCAATTTGATGTAATTATGATATCAATACTTTGTCATGGTTGTTATCAAATAATAATGTCATTATGATTATCGTGATGACATCACAACTACATTTTAATGTATTTAAATAAGGTTGTGATTTCTGCATGAGATCATAATGAAATAGTTTATATGATATCAAAGCATGATAAATATTTAATAATATCAAAATATCACATTAATCTCTGGATGGCATATTATTCATTGATTTTGCTCCTGTTTCAAATGATTAAAAAAAATGTTTTAAACTTAATAGTTCTCTAGTCTTTTTTATATATAAAAAACTATTTATATTTCAACTATAGAGCGTGATAAAGTTGTTTTTATTTTTTCTATTGTCTTTTTGAAAATAGTTTCTTTTAAAAAAGTGCTAATATTTTTGCTCACACCATTGAGTGGTAGATGTTGTGTTAGTTCTATAACGAAATTGTAAATTTAACTGCTCAGCTCATCCTTGCCAATAATGGCGTTTAATAAGCAATGCCAATAATAGGCATGCCCGCAAAGGGAACTTATCAATATATTGATGAAATGCTTTTTTCTAAATCTGTTAAGAAATATAAACTCTAGAATAAATTATGTGATAGGGTTATTACTTATTATTACAACTCAAGTGGATTAAAAGTTTCCAGGCCAATTACATAAAGTTAAAACAAATAACATGAGATCAATATTGCATGAGAGTTAAAAAATTCAGCACAATGCATAGTTGTTTCAAAAAACTTGAAC